CCCCCCCCCCCCTCACATTACACAGTTTCTTTACATGCCAGGGCCATACAGCCCTAAAACGGTCTTAAGACGTGGCTTTTTGATTATTACGGCATAACTTATGACATCGCGAAACTTGGCAAGTGAATGAAGGAGAGATCTCCAATTTTGTTGACAACAAGATTGAAATATAGCAGAGTTTACCCAACTAAAATATGACTGAGACAAGATTTGCTGTGTTTTGGGGTAGAGCCTAGAACACTTTTAGCTACTTTAGTCAGCTTAGTATGGGTGGCCAGAAACTCAGGTCCACTCAGGAGGAGAAGATCAGGTTGACCAAAAACAACAGTCTCTGAGGTGGAATGGAAAATTTTAATGCCTTTAATTATATGGCTAGCTGCATGAGTGGGCAAGTTGAAACAAATTGTGTGTTGTGATTGGCTACTGTGCAGGGAAGATGGCGCTAACTTGTCTGCCCAGGACTACTTCCTGTGTCCTGCAAGAAAAATTTCCTCAAAACCCGTACAATAAATCCGTTATTGACCAAGCTTGCTCTGTTAAGATGGCTGGATATTGGCCTCATTGTTTCTTTATGGACCTCCTCTTCGTGCACAAACACAGAAAAAAAGAACTTGGTCAATATCCAGCCATCTTGACCTCACACTTGGTAAAATAACCCATGTATCTTATGGCATGGAGAGATATAGGCCTAGAAATAAGTACCAGTAGGTAATGCGGATGGACGCCCATGTCAATCAAATTCCCAACCCTAATTTGCAGGGCCCCTTCCCCCTCGTAACTAATAGCCGTTACGTCAGCTACACAAACTTGTACTCACCACTTTCGTGATTTTTCACTCCAAAGGCAATATTTATGATAAATCCAATAATTCCAGACCACAAACCGCCGAAGCCAATCCACATTATCACATTGAATTTGTTTCTTGTAATGACTCGTTCAAGATCGCGGCGGACAGCAAAATGCAAGTGGAGGAAAACAGTGGCAAAAATTGCTGACACACCAGCCCAGCTAGCAGCATTGTAGTTGTGATAAACCATGGCAAAAACTATACAGCCAGCAATCCCTACAGTGATTCCCACAAACGCCGCAATTATCCGCAGTACTAACTTGTAACTCTTGTAGCCTGTCCAGGCCCGTTTCAGACGCTCTCCCATGGCGATAAATAAAAGCCTGGAAAACGACAGTATAACGAAGAGGACTCAAACGTTTGCGAGATCAAGCACGTGACTTTTTGCACTGGGGAGGGGAGGGTGGTTTGCCTACTAAAAGTTCAGGGGTTATTGAGGCTAAAGATGATTTTAATAAGAATAAATTAAGAAATACAGTTGACTATAAAAATACCGTAAGCGATTTTCGCTTATTTTTAACGATAATTTTACCAGTGGTGTCATGGGTGACAAATAAGTCCTTAATTTTGGCGCGAAATTACAAAATCGCCATGACAACGTTTGGCGCGAAATTTCTACTACAAACAAGTCAAAAGCCCACGATTGTAAGCGTAATTTACCACCCGCGATATTAAAACGTAATCAAATGGTATACTCGTGAAATTAGGAAATATAAAGGCTCGGGAAATTATAAGAGCTTTGACAAAACGCGCGTGAAATTATTTCCTAATTTGACTTTAACGACTGGGGTCTGTCATCCAAAGTGGCTGCTTTGTGCTTTGCTCATGTTTTATCCCGAGAACAGTCGAACGCAGATGAGAGTATCGTGTAAAAAATGTAAAAAATCACATAAATTGCAGCTCTTTACCAAGGTTCTTTTTAATTCAGTGATTAAGTTGTCGAGCGTTTCGGTAGAAAGCTGCTGCTGAAACAATCTCGTTTACGTTACTTCGCCGATGCAATACCTTTTCATCTTCCCCATTGCTACACGGCAATCGTTTGCACCTTCTTGTTTAGGATAGCTTAAGGCTTTGAACACTTTAAGGCCATCGTCATCAATAACGTCCTTGAACATGGCGAGTTGATATTCGGGGCTTTCCCGCTCCACACCAAGTAATTATTACAGTATTTCTTTTTCCATAGCTTCCAGTTCTCGGAGATCTCGCTACTTAATTGACCTCAAATCTGAATGTTGCGGAGACGATGATATCTGGTGGAATAACATTGAAAATTGTGATGCTTTGGGCGGCGAGGCACCGGAAGTCAGTTTTCGCTCGTAGGCATTCGTAGACGTTGGACGTTATCGAGGAATTTGAACTACCCTTTCGCTACAATATGTAATATTAGATTGCAGAGAGAACCTTAAACGAACGTCATCAATCATTAATCTGGCTACTGTAACTCAAGATACACAAGGTGAACGCGTATTTTGATATATTTCTGTATGTATAGCATAAATTGAAAAGCCGTTAGAGAACATAAGCGTGCATATGAGGAATGTTTCGCAAATTAGCATATTATAATCTTATATTAAGGTATGTCCGTCATTTTGAATAATCAATTCAAGCCGGTGTAAGAAACTCGTTTGTCCAGTTTAGCTATGACGTCATTGCTTTCTCACTGGCTCACAGCCAAGCCTTTTGTTCTTTCGCTTTATAAGTGCGACACCACCCGGATGGTTGGGCGGCTAGTTAACTCAACCGCAATTTACACATCTCACGTAATCTCTCTTAAAATAATACCTCGAGCTCCTGGATATATAATCAAGTATTCTTCCTCAACCATCCCCTAAATATCCCCCACATATGCCTACACATCCTACCTCTCATTAACCCCTACATATACCTACACATCCTACATCTCATTAATCCACTACATATACTTACGCAGCCTACATTTCACTAATA